CAAGTCACTAAGTTGCCCAGACTGGACTTGAACTTGCCATCTTCCTGCCTTGGCCTCCCAGAGTACTGGGATTACAGGCATGGACCACCATGCACGGCATTGTAGAGAGCTTTTGAGATTGTTCCTTCATAGACTCCTCTTCATCAGTCAACCCCCTCATGTTGCTCAGGTTCTTCCTAGGCCTTTTCTGTGATCACTCCCTTAATCATCTCATTCATTTGAAATTTAATTAAAATATACATGCTGAAGAGTCTAGTCCCTTTTGATAGACCATATCTATATTTTCCAGAGCTTCGGTTATGTTCTACATTCCTGAAGATCTCCCACTGGTACTCTAAATTCAACCTGCCCAAAGTTAAATTCTTCCAATACCAATTCCTCTTTCTCAATTCCCAGTCTCAGTGAATGGCATGACTAGCAACCAGGTTTCCTCTACATGCTGTGAGTTCAGGTCATGTCCACATTCAATCAATCCACCAAAGACCTACTTACTATTTCTGAATCTTCCACCTTACCTTTGATTCCTGTAGGTTTTCTACTTTCTTATTATCTCCCTGGCTTTCTGAGCCATTTTCTCACTGTTCCACCTTTCTTTTCCAGAATACTACTCAGTGACCACCTGAGCGATCCATAGCAACAGAATCAGTATTTGTCTAATTTCAAACTTCTTAATATACTTGGTATGTCACCCAATACCTAGCCTAATCCTGATTCTATTGTTTATCCACAGTTCCTCATGTCACCTAGAACTTGCTTCTGATTCTTACTCTATATTCTGTATGTGACTTTGGTCCTAATTCTTTCAATTGAGTAAAATCTCAGTTAAAGAATTCTTAAAGCTGAAGCATGTGACTAATATTCACACTATCCACCAGGTGTGGTGATGCACACCTATAACCCCAGCACTCGGGAGGCTGAGGCAGGAGCATCACCATGAGTTCAAGGCATGGACTACATAGCAAGATCCATCTCAAAAATTAAAATAAAATAAAATAGAAACTATAAAAAAGAATTACACTATAGCCTAACCATTTACCTTAAGACACAGGGGGAAAAAAGGAGAAAACTACATCAAAACCATACAGAAAGAAGAAAATAATAAAGATTAAACAAAGATTAATAAATAGAAAACAGAAAAACAATAATTCAAAAAGTTGGTTCTTTAGAAAGATTGATAAAACTGAGAAACCTTTAGCTAGACTAACCAAGAAAAAAATGAGAAGAGACTCAAATTATTAAAATTGGAAATGAAAAAGGATATTACACTGATCTTACACACATAAAAACAATTATAAGGAAATAGCATAAATGACTTTATACCAATAAATTAAATAAATGAAATGGAAAAATTCCTAGAAAGATGCAAACCAAAACTGATGTAAGAATTGAAGAGCTGAAGAGACCTATAACAAGGACTAAAGAGATTAAATGTGTAATTTTTTTTAAAAAAAAAGGAAAACCAAAAGCAAGTTCAGGGCCACAGGGCTTCACTGGTGAACTTTATCAAACATTTTAAGAAGAATGAATACAAATTATTCACAAACTCCTCCAGAAATAGAAGGGGAGAAAACACTTCCTAATTCATTTTATGAGGCCAATATTACCAAAATCTGACAAAGACATCACAAGAAAACAAAACTGGCCAGGTGTAGTGTTGCACACCTATAATCTCAGCACGTGGAAGGCTGGGACAGGAGGATCACCATGAGTTTGAGGTCAGCCTGGGCTACATAGTGAGTTCAAGTCTGAACTACACAGTGAGACCATCTCAAAAACAAAACAAAATAAAACAACAAAACAAGACAAAACCACAGACCACTGTCTTTCATGACTACAGACCCAAAACTACTCCATCAAATACTAGCAATCCTTATGCACCATGATTATTCAGCATGACTAAATAAGATTTATCCCAGGAAGGTAAGATTGGCTTCCTATTTAAAAATCAATACATCAGCAAAATAAAGGATAAAAACCACATGATCATCTCAATAGCTACACAAGAGGCATGTGATAAAGTTCAACATTTCTGACTGGGGATATAGATCAGTGACACAAGCACTTGCCTAAGGTCCTGAGTTTGATTCCTGATGCCAAAAAAAGGTTGAACATTTCTTTATGATAAAAACTCAATAAATTAGGAATAGAAGAGAACTTCCTTAACCTGATGTAGGGCATCTATGGAAAACTAAAATGTAACAACACACCTAATGGTGAAAATTGAATGCTTTCTCCCTAACTTCAGGAACAAAATGAGAACTTTTACTTTCATCACTACTATTTAATATTGTACTGGACATTCTAACCAGTACACTAGATAAGTAATCAAAATAAAATGCAGACACACTGTAAAAGAAGAGATAGAGCTACAGTTGCAGATTTCATAATTTTGTGTATAGAAATTCCTACAGAATCAACAATAAACACTACTATAGTTAATAAACAAATTTGGTGAATTTGCAGGATATCACTATATAAAATCAAACACGTGCATATACTTGAACAATCTGAATTTCTAAAAAATTTTCATTTACAACATCAAAAAAGAATCTAATACTTAAGGAAATTTTCAAAAAGGAAATAAAGAATGAGAGGTGTATATGATCAAATTATATTATATGCATAAATACAGACACTACATTGAAACCCAGCATCTTTTAATTTAATAGACATTAATAAAAATATATTTTAAAAGAACTGCTCATGAGCATTCGCAACAGTTTTATTTGTAAAACCCCAAAGCAACCCAAAAATCCAATAACAGGAGAACTGATAGAACAAATTGTGCACCTTATATATAATAATATACTATCAAAGAATAAAAAGAATCAAGTGATAGATGTAATAATATATAAAATGTTATGTTGAATAAAATAAATTAGTCACAAAAGACTATACACTGAGTAATTCTGCTTATGCAAGATTGTAGAACAAACAAAAATAATCTATAGTAATAGAAATTACAACATTGTTACCTTGGGAATGGGAATCCATCAGAAGAGACCATGGAAAACTCTGGAGTGATGAAAATGTTCTATATATTGCTATATACGTTTCACTGATATATACATCTGTCAAAATGCACCACATTTATAAGTAAAAGTTGTGAATTTCACTGTATTTAGATTTTACCTCGGTTGAAAAAGCTTAAAAAAGCAGTTACTAAATAAAAAATAATAGGCCAAGCATAATGGTGCACACCTATAATCCCAGCACTCAGGAGGCTGAAGGCAGGAGGATGGCCTTGAGTTCAAGGCACCTTGGGTTACATAGTGAGTTCCAGACCAGCCTCAACTACAAAGTGAGACTCTGCCTCATAAACCATAGATAGATAGATAGATAGATAGATAGACAGACAGATATAGCAATATATATGTAGAAGTGGATATATAGATATATAGATACACAGATATGTAGATATATACATATATAGTCCACCAAAAGCTGTATATACACTTCAGGGAAAGAGAAACATGTATAAATATTTTAATACTAAATTTATTGAGACATCAAGAGATTAATACAAGTTACTTTCGGCCTCTACAACAAAGTGATGGCTATTAGCTTCCAGACATTTATTAGTATGACAAATTTGGTTAACTTTTGAGATTGCTGCACATTCATTTTCAATTTCTTCTCCAAGGGCCAGCAGTGTAGTGGGTTTTCAGTGATATAAGACAACCTCTAGAGCTGGACATGGTGGCACATGCCTGTAATCCCAGCACTCCAGAAGCTAAGGCAGGAGGATTGTTGCAAGTTTGAGACCAGCCTGGGCTACAAAGTGAGGTCAAGGCCAGCCTGAACTAAATAGAGAGACTCTGTCTCAAAAAGACCAAAAAAAAATGACAACCTCTAGGGTCCCCCGTATAAGGATAACACCATCTGTTGAAAAACCATCATATTATTTTTCTTTTCCTGAGTATGTATCCATTTTTTGGCAGAGTGTGTGTGTTTCTGTGTTAGTGTCATCTGTGTTTGTATCTGTGTCTAAGAAATTAACTTAAAAAGAAAGGAAGGTCTAAGCTTAAAATAACATATATAAATGTTATATATATATAACATATATATATATACCACATCCCACATTCATGATTAGAAGAGTTAATATTGTTAAGATGGCAATACAGTGTATTCTCCAAATTTATCTACAGATTCAATGCAATCCCTATTGACATCCTTGCTGGACTCTTTGCAGAATTTAACAACTGATTCTGAAGTTTGGACGGAAATTCAAATGACCCCAAGTCAAAAAAAAAAATCTTAACAAAGAACTAAATTGGAAGATTCATATTTCCTGATTTCAAATGTAGCACAAAGCTACATTAATCAAGATTGTGTGTTGGCAAACAATAACTTAGGGATCAGTGGAATAGAATTGAAAGCCTAACAGCAGACATTATAGTGAGTTGATTTTCAACAAGGGTGCCAAGATAATTCAATGGGAAGAAAGAGTATTCTTTGATCAAATGGTGCTAAGACAAATGAATAGCCTTAAGCAAAAGGATAAAAATGGGCCTATCTCGTACCACTTATAAAAATCAACACAAGATGGATTGTAGACCTAAATATGAGTGAAGACTATAGAACTCTCAGAAGAAAACACAGCTGTACATCTTTTCACCAATTAGGCAATGCTTTCTTAGATATGACATGAAAAGCATTAGCAATAAAACATAATTAATAAATTGTACTGTATCAAAATTTACAACTTCTCTGTATCAAAGAATACCATCAAGAAAGTAAAATATAATCCAAAGAATGGGAGAAAATATATGTAAATCATACATCTGGTAGGGATTTATGTCTAGAGTACACAAAGAATACTTATAATTTAATTTTTTAGAAAAAGATAAATAACTTAATTAAAAAGTAGGCAAAGGATCTGAATGGATACTTTCCAAAGAATACCTGACATCATTACCCACCAAGAAATTCAAATCAAAACAACTATAAGATACCATCTCACACCCACAAGCACCCACACCAATCAAGATGACATAATAACAAATATTGATGAAGATTGGAAAAAATGAAATGTTCATACATTAATCACTCCTTTGGGAAATAATATAGGCGTTCCTTATAAGGTTAACTATATAGTTACTATATGACCCAGCAATTCCACTTCTCCATATATGTAGCTAGATGGATAGATAGGTAAGTAGATATAGATATATAAATATATAGATTTATGTCCAAGAGAAATTAAAATATGTCCACACACAAATATTCATAGTTTAATATTTATCATAGCCTAAAAGTAGAAGCAACCCAAATGGCCAACAATAGATGTGTAGAAAAACAAAGTATGGTATGTTCATTCAATGATATATTATTTGATCATAAAAAGAAATAAAATATTGGCCCACGATATAATGTTAATGGATCTAAGGTATGCCAAATGAAAGAAGACAATCACAAAGGACCACATATTATAAAATCTCATCTATGTGAAATATCCCAAAAAAGCAAATCTGTAGAGAGATCAGTGTTTACATTTGGCTGGGAGAGTTAGTAGGGAATAGAAAGTTACTGCTCAAGAGTACAGGATTTCTTTCGGTAGTGATGAAAATGTTCTAACTGATTAAATTATCTTATTGCGGGGACAGTTGCACACCTCTATGAATACACAAAAACCATTTATTTATAAACAACTAAATAACATCATACCATACAGTAAATCCCATCTATATTAATAAACTCAAAAGCATGATTCCATTTTACAATAGATTCCCTTGAATATAAATATGAACCAAACTTAGAAGTATCACAGTTTAGAAATGACCAGAATTTAAGACCTGTGAATTACACACAATAACCTTTTTTATCTTCAACTGTGTGAGCGCTTACTTTCTAAAAGGTCCATTACAGCTCCAGGATCTATTGCATTTTCAAATACCTGCACAGAAAAGATAGGGAAAAATAAATTTTCAAAGGTTTATTAATAGGTACTTATGGAAACTAAAGATATGCTTACAAATACCTAGCATGTGTAAAATTCAGCCGTATAATATTTTAGGACTCAGCAGAAGCACTTTTAATATGTGTGTGGTTAAAACACAGTGTTCTACTGTGTTGCTACAGAACAAATAAGCGAACAGTAACACAAGTATTAACTAAATAGGAGTTAGCCAACTCTATACATGCTTAAAATGTCCCTACCTTGAACTAGTTTTACCACTTGTTGCTAAAAGGACATCTTTTATCAAACTCAGAGTCTTCAGTAACTAGAAAAACATTCTGTATGCTGTAGGTACTCATCAAATGTTGACTGAATGATTTTTTCTTCCAAAGCAATTGGTTGTGCTAAGAAGGAATCTAAATAGAAATTCTGCCCACCTGTAACACAAAAGAAAACCTAAGGACTAGCTGTTATACTCTTAGAGGATCCTGAGAGAGAGACACTAAGTTTTAAATGTACGACAGGACAAAAGAAAAACAATGTGCTAACTCTCTAGCCATGGCCAAATCTGTCTATCTTGTCCTTGAAATAAAAGGTTCTGGGACAGTACTGAAATAAAAGATGCATCAAGTAAAAGCTTCTCCTGTTGAACTCTATATAGAACCGTGTGGAAAACAAGTTTTCACCAGAGTTTAATTTCAGATTGTAAAGTTCTGATTTAAATGTATTTAAACGTAAGTATGGTTAAAAATCTGCTCTTGGATCCAGTCAAGTCTGCTTTGAGGACAAAAAAAGAGGCTAGCCCCTATAATTCATTTTTGTCTTCCTAGCTTGCTTTTATTAAGTAAATCTGGCTAATTTTTGCCTAAATTATGTCAGTAATTGCATCCTTCCCCTTTGCTCATTGTTAAGGGCTGAACTGTGTCTCCCTCAACAGTTGTAGGCTGAACTCCTAATGCCAGCATCTTAATATCTGACCTTATTTCCAAAAAGATCCATTCTGCGTGCAATTAATTAAATTAGAATGAGGTCACAGTAGGGTAGGTTGGGCCCCTAACCAAAAATTACGGTGTTATTATTAAAAAGGGATATTTGAGGCATAGAGACTGTTAAAAGAAAAACATTAGACAAAATAAATTCAACATTTTATTTACACAAAGAATGATTTATGAACCAAGCAGCACTGAGAATCAGAAAAGATTCAGTGGGCTGCACTGCTACAAACTGGGCAGAGAGCTCCTATAGGCTAATGTAGACAGGATGACACCCTCAGGTGGGACTGATCAGCCACAACTCATTGCATGCCTGCTCAGGGTACTGCTGAGGAGAGAAAAAGAGAGAGAGATTTGCTTCGACTGGCTGAGTTCTAATACATTCATTTTATTAACACAAGAGTTTAGCTTTGAGCTTTCTTATGAAAAATTGAAGTTTAGTATCTAAGATTTAGTATGTAGATGTTCCAATTAAGAGACTGAGATTCTTTTAATATTGTGTTATTCCTCTGGCATATTTGGATTTGCAGCATATTTACTTGTTTGTGAATAATTTATGAAAATAAGAGCAAAGATATATAGATATAGATATACACACACACAATACACACACACATGTACACACATTTCCTTGGACTGGCTGTGATTTTAGCAGAAGTCCCTGCAAGGAAGGAAATGCACTCAGATGCCTTTTCAGAGCAAGCCAAAACCTGGTGGACAGTGGAACATTGCCCCCTTACACTATTGGTCAGCAAATTTAAGAGGAACCCTAGTTGAGAATCACTGCCATAGAATCTTGTTTCAAAAAAAGAAAAGAATCTTGATTCAGAGAATATCCAACTCTTTGGTGCTAACTAATAGTGCTAGCTATTTTTGGTATAGGAATAGATTTGTATTGGGCATTTTATTTTTAAAAAATTGTGTTTTTGTAGACTCCCAAGTCTTGAACATCTACAGCAAAAGAAGGTAAAATTGAAAACAGTGGAAGATCATTCCAAAAGGCCTGGATAGAGTCATTTGAAGTGACTGAACACATTGGGGAATACATATGTATTCTGTATAGTATAAATGTTATAGGTCATGCATCAAGTGTCACACAGCACTTTGACACCAACCATAAAAGTGTCATAAAACTTGGTGGAACTGCAAGGAGTTTCTCAAAGGGAAATTGAGGAAATCTCATTCCCGGTATCTTAGTTTTTGCAACTACTTTTCTAACACAGATCATCAGACAGCTACAAGCTTTCAAATATCACTGTCATAGCAAAATATGGTAAGCCCCTCTCTGATGGGGATTTTATCAAACTGGCATGTTCTCTGGGAAAAATTCACTTTTTCATGATTTCCCAGACAAGGATAAAATTATGCAAGGCATCTCTGAGATGCCACTTAACAGCAATACCATTAAAGACTGAGTCCTGCGCATGACAAGTGATGTTAGCAGCTCACCACTGATTTACAAAAGGCAGCCTGTTACTCACATGCTTAGATAAAAAGCACAGATATAAATAATCATGCAAGGCTAGCAGTAATTTTGTTTCTGTTGGTGATATGAGACAAGAGCTGGAGAAACCAGTGTCTTTGTCTGGAAGAACACAAGGGATAGATATACATAATACTGTGATGGAGGCTTTTCTGTCATAAGACATAAGACCAGAAAAAAGTGGTTTCAATTACTAGTGATGGGGCACCGTGCAAGGTGAAGGCAACACCTGGTTTCATACAGTTCTTTATTAAAGAAGCAAAACATCCAGTCATGCAGTCTCATTGTATTATACATCAAGAAACTCTCTGTGCCAGGGAAAGCAGTAAAAAATTAGATGATATCATCAAAGATATCCCAAAAAATGTGAATTACATCATGGCTTGTACTGTTTTTTTAATCATATTTTATTGGTACATTTAGATATACATAATGATCATATTCATCTTAGAGAATTTATATCTTTGCACTCTGAATTCTCAACAGTTTCAAGTCCTTTTTGATGAGATTTAGGCATAGTAGAATACTTCACTTATGTACAATAATGTCCAACAGTTAGGCAGAAAATGAGTTCTGGAGAGATTTTGTAGCCTGCTTGGATCAAATTAGGCTATTGATGAAAGAAAAAGGACAGGAATATCCATGACTCACTGATACGGCCTGGCTTAACAAATTAATGTTTTAACAGACTTTACACTACACTTCAATGTAGGACAAAAATTACAAGGTGTTAGGAAAACAGCAGAAAAGATATCCTGTGATATCAAAACATTTGAGAGAAAACTGCAGGTTTTGAAATGACCTTGAAAGTGGGCAGCTGGAATATTTTCCAAACCTAAAAATGTATTTAAAAAATTCTACATTTGCAGTCAATTTTACAAGCCATCAAGAATTCTACAAGGTATTTTCTAGCATCACAGCAGCTGCAAAGGAGACTTTTAGTGACAGAGTTTTGCAGTTCTGTAAGATGAAGACAATCCAGTGTTTTCTTACTTCTCCAGACAGAGCCAAATTTGAAGAACTTGATCTTTCCTGCTTACACTAGTTAGATTTTAGAAATCTGGAAATGGAGCTATTGGAATTTCAAGAAAGTTCAAGGTGAAAAAATAAATTCTGTGACCTGTGTACAACACTTGACAAGACAGAGTGTGAAGGGATGACAAAGGACAGCACAGCTGGTAGTTCAGAAAATGAAATTCTTAAAGCGTGGAATTCTCTGCCAAATAATTTTAAGTCTATGAAAGCACTTGGGATTGCTTTTCTTACTTTGTTTGGATCATCTTATACTTATGAACAGCTGTTTTCAGCTTTAAATTATATCAAATCAGATACAAGACACAGACTAACAAATGACCTGAGTGCTGCATGTATTGTTCTCAAACTAACAAAGTGTGAGCCAAGGTTTGACATTATCAGCATGCATACAACAGCAAAGATCACATTCACTGGCAGATGCACCCCAAATGCAAACTTTTGCCTTTCAGTGAAAAGTTCTTTGTAGTGCTGAAAGTTCTGTTACTATGTTTTCTTTTATGACAAAAGATTTTAATGTATGAGTTGTTTTTTCTAAACTAATACCTCAGTATTCAGATTTAATTGCAGTGTTGGCACTTTGTGGTATATAAGTGGGTCTGGAGTTACATTTTGGACACTTGGTGCCTCAGAAGTTCACCATCCCTGACCTGGAACCTTCAGAGACAGCCTTGCCCTGCAGATATTTTCATCTCAGATACCAGACCACAGCACTTCTGCTGTTAAAGCCACTCAGTCTGTGATACTTTCATAAACCAGTCCTAGGAAACTAATATACCAGTATCTAAGGATTTTTCTCAAGTAGCCTTGGGTAAATGATCAACATGATTTGTTCAAATACAATGGCTCATGAATTGTCCTGAGGAATTTGTTTATCCAAATGCTTTAGAATATTTAATTCTGTAACATAGACGGTTCAAGAAGAGAAACTGTTTTCAATACATGCTGCAAGTATTTATAGCTATAAAACAGAAGATACAAGAAAGCTAAAACCAACTGGAAAAAAAAGCTAGAATAGGAACCCAAACAACTCATACAAGAGGGAAATTATTTAATTTCATTTTATGAAAAGAAAAATATAGTTCTGGGACATATTTGACTACTAATCTCAAAGGTACCACTTTTTAACAGAGCAGTAGTTAGCATCTAAAATGTAATCCTGAGACTCATTCTCCTTTTTACAAATGAGGATGTGGGACTAGATGTTCCTACCTCCCAAGGTCATTTACAGATTTATCATTCTGCGCTTCATGATTTTGTATCCTTGAGATTCTTTTAAAAAATGCTTTAAAATTCTTCTACAGAGCAAACTGAACACTGATAACACTAATAAGAAAATTCCTAGGAGAAAAAAGAGTGCATTCTTACCACCTACTTTTCAACACTTCAAAGGTCTAAATGTAGTACATTAGGTTCCTTGCAGTACATTAGAGCTCTTGCTCTCTTGTTCTCTCTCTCCAACCAATTTGGCACATTTTTAAATCAAGAGAATGTGACTTATAAAAACATTATATACAATCCTAGCTGTTATGATTTGTGTCTAGATGTCCCCGCAAAGCCTCATGCAGTCTTGAGGGTGAGTTTCTAGAGTCTGTGATTGATTCATGATCCAGTGCTGGGATTACGGGTGTGAGTGCTACACCCACCCTTGGGAAGGTAGCCTGCATATAATGCAAGAGAGGGAAAGAGGCTTGCTCTGTCCGCTCCTACCTTTTTGCTCTTGCTTTTGCTGTTTTCTGTCACCATGAACCGCTGCCCTCTGCCATGTGCCACTCTGCCTTAGAGACAGCGAGTATGGACTGAAACCTCCACAGACTGTGAGCTAAATAAACCCTTCCTTAATTTTGGGTGTCAGGTGTTTTGTCCTAGCAATGAGAGAAAAGTAACTAAGACACTAGCCCTTCAATGAACCATTTTCTTCTCTCTCATCCTCAGGTTAAAACAGGTCACTTTTGAGACATCATCTACCAGACCTTTAAAAGTGTTATGTTCTACCTGGGGGCCTTCCTTCAGCCCCAAAAGATCCACCTTAGTGACACTCTTTGGGGCAAAATCATTAGACTTATTAAGGTTAAAACTGATTCTATCTCCAAATCCAAAAGAAAAACTTTAGGAACTGTCGTTGATGGTATAGTAATAAAATGAATATTCAGTCTTTTAAGTGCTGAAGCAGGAAAGGGTAGGTAATATTTTTGTTATTTGTATCCTGATCATATTCACTGGAATGGAATCAAGCCTTTATATCACTGTAGCTACATAAACCAGGTGTGATTTAAGAAAAGAGTGAATCTGAAGAACCTTCTTGTCTCACTACAAGATTTCAGTCGCACGACTTAACTAATTTGGTTATGGTTTTTCAATTATTTTTCTGGGTCTGAGAGCCTCCCTCAGTCTGCAGTTTATTAATAACCCTTTCATAAATGTAATGAACTGTCTTTAACACCTCCAAGAACATTCAGAATGCTCTCTCTGCTCCAGTTAGAAGATGCCATGGGAATTCCAAAAATAGAAAACATCGACCAGGGTATTTAGCACTACATTGACAGAACTTGGCTCAGACCTGCGAGTAAAAGTCTTCCAACTGTGGTTTTGCTTCAAGGCCAAATGTGGTTTTGTACTGTGCTTAAGGGCCTTCGGTAATTTTTATTAAAGGAAATTTACAAAATAACTTTGTGAGAACTGCAGCTTTTTATAAGAACCATTCGATTGTGTTCAGACAGCAAAACCCAAGGAGAAAAATCAAGATCACCTTTTCAAATCTCATGCTCTGCTGAATCACAACAGGGAACACGGAGCGAAAGCACGCTGTCTCCAGGTACTGATTCAGGAGGTAGACCCCGAGGTACACATCTTGCTTGTGGGGCAGGAACACTCCGGGGCAAGAAATCTTAAAAAAAAGAAAGAAAACAAAGTGAAAGAGCAGCAGGGTTTGCTTTGTTTTGAATGGGGCTCTAGGTCTGCTAACCTCCGCAGACCCTGAGATGTACCTGCTCTCGGGCACTCCCTTACCTGGACCCCCCAGCATCCACATCCTCCGCTCCGCTCCCACAGACTGAAAATTCCTATTCCTCGCCGGGTCTCCACCAGGTGTCACAATCGCGCTCTCGCGGGCTCTCTCCCCGCCCCTCCAGGATGGCAGTGCGGAAGCGGAAGACGCCGCAGAGCCAGGAAGCCTCTGTCTAGGCTGGCCGGGTCCCGGGCTCGGAGCCGCCCGCCGCGATGCCGAGCCCCCGGAGGAGCATCGAGGGACGGCCGCTGGGCGCCTCCACCTCGAGCACCAGCAGCAGCCCGGGGAGCCCGGCCCATGGCGGCGGCGGCGGCAGGTTCGAGTTCCAGTCCCTGCTCAGCAACCGCGCGGCGGGCGCGGACCCCACCTGCGCCCGGCTCCGCGCGTCCGAGAGCCCGGTGCACCGCCGCGGCTCCTTCCCGCTGGCCTCCGCGGGCCCCTCGCAGGCTCCCCCTCCCCCGCTGCCCGAGGAAGACCGCATGGACCTGAACCCGTCCTTCCTGGGCATTGCCCTGCGCTCTCTGCTGGCCATCGACCTGTGGCTGTCCAAGAAGCTGGGGGTGTGTGCTGGGGAGAACTCGTCTTGGGGCAGCGTGAGGCCCCTCATGAAGCTACTGGAGATCTCGGGGCACGGCATCCCATGGTTGCTGGGCACCCTCTACTGCCTGACCAGGAGCGACAGCTGGGCCGGGCGCGAGGTGCTGATGAACCTGCTCTTCGCCCTGCTATTGGACCTCCTGCTGGTGGGCCTGATCAAAGGCTTGGTCCGCAGGCGCCGCCCGGCCCACAATCAGATGGACATGTTTTTTACCCTCTCGGTGGACAAGTACTCCTTCCCCTCGGGCCATGCCACAAGGGCTGCCCTGGTGTCGAGGTTCATCCTGAAACACCTGGTCCTAGCCATTCCACTGAGAGTGTTGGTGGTGCTGTGGGCCTTCGTCTTAGGTCTCTCCAGGATCATGCTGGGCCGGCACAATGTCACTGACGTGGCTTTTGGCTTTTTTCTGGGCTACATGCAGTACAGCATCGTGGACTATTGCTGGCTCTCACCCCACAATGCTCCCTTCCTCTTTGTACTGTGGAATCAACAATGACACCATCTCACTAACGATGGCACCAGGAGGTCTGAAGGTTTCCACATTCGATGACGCCAAGCTGAAACCAGCGGCCTCTCTTAGATATGTCAGGCTTCCTCTGGGATTTCTGGTGTCCCACCAGCTTGATGTGTTACTAAGCCAGAGCACATGCAGGCCATTACTAAACTCTGCCACATGAGGGAAAGCAAAAACTCCTATTATATGTGTATTCAAATTGTTTCTATCTCCAGGACAACTGCAAAGAAACCAAGCTGTGGTTATATGGTTGCTGCTTTTAAAAAGCTGACACTGAGATTTGTGCTGTGTAGTAATCCCATAAACCAACATAGCACTTGTAAATTGGATTGTGAGAAAAGAACATAGTATTCATTCCATACATGTACATGCAGATAAGCTACATACTAATTCTAGTCCTTTACCTGAGATGATGTGAAACAGTATTTTAAACATTGAAGGCATAGGTTTTTCTAGTTTATTCCCTGGAGACCCGTTGCCACAATTGGGGAAATTTCTTCTTAATCCTGATTATCTTGGTAAGCTTTTTTATATTGTCTTTTCCATCTTTGTTGATTGGCAATGAGAAAAGAGATTACTTATCTTTCCCTAGACCTTCAGAAAGATTGTTGGATGTTTATTTCCCACTACTCTTAATACTATCTTGGAGAGCAAATCAAGAACTTAGAGAAGAAACACTTAAAAGGTAGGCATATGTAAATTGCCCACAGAAAAGTAAGTATGATATGACTTCATGCTAATTCTGTGGACAGCCAGTGGCATGGCATGACAGCAAGCAGAGAAGCTAGGCTGCTGGGCAGTCAGAGGAACAGAGTTTACATGCAGGCAGACCACATATTACGTCAATGATCAGTATTACAGGAGATGGCCTGGTGCCCATCATCTCCACTGAATGATATTTCTAGTCATAAAATGGGAAAATAACATTTTTAATACAAATGCATAAGCTTTCTCATATGTACCATAAGAAAGATCTATATGCTGTAGTTATTCGCATGGAATTCATTTTCCTGCAATATAGCATGCTGTAGGTAACAGTATTTAACTTAATTTAAATTCATCAGGACAGTGTGTTGCTATATCAGGCACTAAATGTAACCCCTAAATTCTGTTTACATTGACCTTTACATTTAAAGCTGTTCATCCATGGTGCCCCCCCCCCAAATCGTTCAGACCAAAGACCACCAAATCTATGGTGGACTGAAGAGGGTATGTTTTAAATGCTGCTCTACATGAAAAGAAAATCTTTAAATTACCTATGGAACTGGTGTCTTAAGGTAATGACCAATTATTTTGGCACTTATAAATAGAAAAAATTACAGACTTTGATTTGACAGAGATGTGGATAGGAGCCTGGAGAATGTGATTACGGGGAAGCTGAACTTTGTAAGAATGAGGGTATACCAAAAGAGGAACAGCTACTCCTCTAAAGTTATTGTATCCCCACAACACCCTGAACACTGACTACCTCTTTAGTTGCTGAATCAGCCATACTGTAAAGCTCTAAGTGGTTTGGATTTGTTGTTTAGCCTCAGTGAGATGCTTCGTTTTAATCACAGTGATATTCAGGCCAGATATTTGAAAGCAATGAAATTTCCTCTTGCAGTGTACACAAGTGTGCATACTGGGGCTTACCTTCTCGCCTTTAGTTATACTTCTGGATTTCCTGTTTTAGTTGCCAGGGCCTGAGTTTGCTGGCATCTAAAGCACAGAATAATTTACCTGACTTTGTGGAGCATACCAAGCACTACAGCGTAAAAAACTGATTTCTTTGTTAATTAATTATACAATAAAAGTGGCTTTTAAAATTCAAAATAAAATTAATGTTGAAGTGAAAGTTTCTGCTCTCATATAGAAGACATCAGTCAGCTTCTCAAGGGTTCCTGCTCAATTTTGAGAGCTTGCAGTTGCTACAGCACAGTTAATATGGTCTGGCCTGATTTGCTGTCAGTAAAGTGGGACAAAATCAGGAAATTTTTATGACTTTTGTTTCACAGCTGCATACATGATGAAACCTCAGCATTTGCTAATTGTGTGGAAGCTAGCCAGATTTTCCTTAGCTCCATCCTGGTAGCCTTGTGCTTGTAAACATAGCCTGTACAGAAGCCCCCAGCAGCCTGGAAGCAAAGGTGCACTAACTACAGATGAAGAATGGGAAAATGGAAAGTGAAATAAGGATGTCAGCGCCACAGAGGAACAGTAAAGTCACTCTGCCCCAGCACCTCACTGAGGAAGGATGTGGTGAATAATTATAAAACATCTATTGATTAATTTCCCTTTTGGAATTAACAAGCTAAAGCCGTCGCTAAAGGAAATAGTTGAGAAAATATTTGATTGGTTCATAGAGCAGATTATCAGGAAGTACTTGGGCTTTTGAAATTATTCCATGATTATTAAAATAAATTTTTAAATCCTTTCACAAAGCTTTATCCTCAGAATAAGAAAATCCTACTTGAATTTAATGCAGGGTTGTTTCAAACCAACAAAAATTCAGGATAAAGCTAAGAAATACACCGGCTTTGAAAGCACAAAAAAGTAGGGGGGAAGGGGGCTGAGCTGAACTGAAGCTTATGAAGTCCAGGAAGGCAAATGTAAAGAACCTTAAGGACTAAGTTAAGATTTGTCCCAAAAGATAATGATGTGTGTGGTAAATTGGGCGGGGTGGGGAAAACAACCCAAACCATTTTAAGACTCTGACATGGGGTTTAAGGAAAGGAGGTTCATTGATTTCTTACCGCCCGGATCTGCAGCTCCACCACCACTTCCAGAGGCATCGCTGCGTGGGCAAAAGGACTGGAATGACAAGTTCTTTTTGTGCCGAACCTTAAACCAATTTTTCTAGGGCAGTTGTTCCCAGAAGCTTCCCCAGCCCCCCATCCCCTCGTTCCCCCATGTGTCCCCGCCCCGAGCCCAGGTCCCTCCCACCGGGACGGGTCTCCCACTACTGACTCGGCGGGGTAGGCTGATAGAAGGCAGAAGCGTCGCGTTGCTATGGACACTGAAACGCGCGACCTTCGACCTTGGAACTGGAGCCAGTCCCAGCGCAGGCGCGCGGCGGGGATGCGGACTTCCCGGGCAGTGCCTGGGCCATAAGCGCAGTGCTTTGTACTGGCGTGGGAGCTAGGATAGATGCCAAGAGTCCTAGTTTTCCATCCAATCACTATAAAGTGTTTACAGTTTCCAATACAAAAGCGGAATGAGATCATAGCCCGTTATAATTTAAGCACTATACATTTTTATTGGCCACGAGACCCCATGCTCTGAGGTTTCTGTAACAATTCCAATTTCATATAGTTGCCTGAAGGTATGCTCTTGCTTATTATGTCCTCGTGTCTGGTTTAGAGAACATGGTAACTGTCAATAACGGGATACTGAAATGCATGCTAATTAGAAACAGAGGCATAACATATTTAAAAGTTAGGTATCCTTTGTCAATTTTTGGTATAAGTTAGGTATTCTATATCATGCTTTGTCATAGGAGTAGTTTTTTGTCATTTTTTCTCTTCACTATATTGTTCAGCCTTTCCTGGAGTTTAACCTAAAGCAAGCACTGAGTCACATTTTCTGCCCGTAGGTAATCACTGTATTTGCTAAAGCCTTTGTAACTCTGTAAAATCTGGCTGAAGCGACAAGCACAGCAAGAATTCTAAGTGAAGGAAATTACATTTTTTTCCCATTTACTGTATTTGATTAAAAAAAATAAACGGAGGAGGGAGTGGCTGCTTATTGCCAATTCCAAAAATCTAGGAGGCCCACTACTGTCCCTAAAAATATATGTATGCATATGTGTGTTGTCATTCATTATTCATAATTTTCATTAGCTATTTATACAATTGGAAATGATACCCAAACATGCCCCCAGAGAAGAACTGGGTGTTCACTTTGGTAACTGCAATGCCTTTACCTGCAAGGGAAAAACAGAGTGATGAAGGATAGTACTGTTTACTCTGCCCTCCAGTCCTAGTGCTCTGTCTCTCTGCATACCAGGAGACACACAGGTGGGTGCCTGGCTACCTATAGTATCCAGAGTACTCATTTGCCACCTTACAACAAACAGTTCACTGGCACAATACCTATGATAATTCTTACAGGTAAATCACCAATTGTCTTAGTTACTTTTTTCATTGCTAAAACAAACTACCCCATGTCCATAGTTAAGGGAGGAGAGGTTTATTTGGCTCACAGTTTGTAGAGGTTTTCTCCATAGTAGGCTGGCTCCAAGGTGGGGTGGCATGGCAGACAAGCATTGCAGAGGAAAAATATTTATGACATGCAGAAGGTAGCAAAGCAAACAAGGGACATTAGCAACTTTATTCCTTTTATACTCTATGTAGAGCAGTACCAAACCAATCAGTGGACTGATATAGTCATCACACACTCTTAATTCCAGCATCACACACTCTAGATCCAGTCATCTCTGGAAAACCTTCACCTATGACTGCATGAGGCTTTGGGGAACATTTAGACACAAACCATAACACTAATACTAAAATATCAAGGTGAGTGACAATCAAAATAGATCTATGAATAAATAAATGAATAGCTAGAGGTATAATGTGAGGTATGTATTGAATATCTACAAAAACCTGTGCACATTGCATGTGTAATTGATCCCCACAATAATTCTTTGAGGGAGAAGCCTATTTTATAGATGCAGACTCCAAAGCCAAATAGCCTTTTGCCTAAGCCTACACAATTAAGAAAGACAATAGTCACATTTGAATCCAGGTGTGTGCTACGGCATCGCCACCCCTACAACACAGACATCCTACTGAGCCCTAGAGACACACTCTCCCATCATATGAATTCTAGTCTTTCGTTCAATATAACTGGGCTCTCCTTGCTTGGCTTCTCAAATCCAGCCCTCCTGGCTTCCTTTCCATTCCCTAGCCCACTTTCTTTGCCTCCTCTTCCAGTAAGGGGGATTGAACCAAGGGCTTTATGCATGCTAGACAAGCATTCTACCACTAAACCTAACCCTAACCCTAGCCTAACCCACATCATCTGTGCTCCTACAACCAATATACTCCTTCTTCCCAGCAGAAACTTCTTGATCCTGGTCTTTACTGGCTGCATTTCTATCAGCAGATTCTGGTCTTCTGAGCTCTGGCCAGATTCTACCATCAAATACAATCAAAGGCATTCCAACTCTACTTTTTCAGGCTACATCTCCAAATCTTTCCTAACTCTTCCCCTTCCCACAAGCCAGTTCCAATGGTTCTTGAGCCACGTAGTCAAATAGAGTCATAGCAATGAGCCCATTTCTCTGGTAACAAGTTCTGTCTTTGTTACTTTTCTCCTTGCTGAAACAAAATACCAGACACCCAAAGTTAAAGCAGGAAAGGTTTATTTAGCTCACAGTTTGTAGAGGTTTCAGTCCATAGTTGGCTGGCTCCAAGGCTGGATAGATGGAAGACAAGAATGGTAGAGGAGAAACAGCTCATGGCATGCAGAAGGTAGCAAAGCAAGCAAAGTGCCTTAACAGTGTCCAGGGTACTTAGTGTGGGTAGACCTCACACCCTTAATCCTAGTGCCCTTGAGCCTAGATTGAACCATGGATCAATTCCAACACCACACACTCTAAATGCAGCCATCTCTAATAAAGCCCCACCTATGACTGCATGAGGCTTTGGGGGACATATAGACAGAAGCCATAACAGTCTGACAGAAGTCTTACAGAAACAAGGTGAGGTAGATGTGTAGCAGTACATGCTTCCAATCTTGGATACTGCAGGGATAGAAGAATTTCTCAGCAATGAATGATTTGTACCCAAAAAAATGGACAAGGCTATGCTTTAGTTTATTCCATCACAGCATAGTCCACATGTAATGATATAGAAGGTCTAACAGAATAGATTATTGGAGTTAAAGACACAGATGATTCTGGTTGGTAATAAAAGTGACTTGAGAGATTAAAGAGTTGGAGGAAAGAAGCAAGGTCAAAATCTAGCAAGACAGTGGAACAACAAACTCTGCATTATTAGACTCATCTACAAAATCAAAAATAAATGTTAATGAAATTTTTTATTACCAAAACACCTGTAGAGGGTATCAGTCTCCCACCTGGCAATATGGCACACAGATGAAGTATAAAGACAAAGAGAAAATTCTGCAGATGAGGCTTTGGGATGACCCAGGGCTGTCTGTGGAATAAAAGGGCCAGGAGTCCAAGCTCTCATAGCTTTTATTGGTATCAATCAGGAAGGTGGGTAAGGGTCATGGAGGAGTGCTAGGGAAGAGAAACTGCAAAATTAGCTGGAAGGAGAAATAGAGGACTTTTGCACCAGGCACGGAAGCCTCCAATTAGCAGTGCAACAGATAGCTTGATGTATGCAAGGTTGGCACCTTGCACACATCTTACTGCCAGGAAGATACAGTTCTGAGTCGCATGACCTCAGCTGAGATGTTATCTCATGTTTTAGCCTTGAAATCTCACAGACTCTTGCTCTAGCTATTCTCACCTGCATGTTGCTGCCTTGCTATACTGAAACTCACTGGGATCCTGGCAGGACTCAGTCACATTCTTTTGGCCAATTAAGGGAATATCTGCTTCAACCCCCGGCGCACGAGGACCCACAGGCAGGGAGCGCCGGTCTTCCAGCAGGCTCGCTCCCTGCCTCGTAGGTGCCCTGAAGGAGGGCCCCGGCGCAGGGGGAGCCACGCGGTGGCGAGTGCTGTTGCAAGCCAGCCCTCAGGCCAGCCGCCGCTGCTCAACTGAGAACTACCATGACACAGAGAAACAATGACACAATTGGCCCACCATGCACCAGCTACAGATGCCCACCCACGGACATGTGTGAATCATTCAAACATGGAGAAACCCCTGGGAATAGATGCCATACAACGGGTCAGTCTTGCTCCTGCCATTGAGAACCAGAAAGGTCCAGAGTCAGCGGAGGAGCAGCTGCTGAACAAGAACTCGGAAAACATGAGAATGCAGACTAAGCC